AACAGCAACAGGCTTAAAATGAGCCATCCCAGAGATAGAAAGGGGGATCTCACTGCCATCAAGAGAGAAGAGCAGGAGTGGAGCACATTCTTGGACCTGAGATCCCTGCATTGAGAGGGCAGAGAGACAAAGGCAGCAGAATCAAGAGACTAGTACGAGACACAGCAAGCAGGCTTTCTGGCCCACAGGGTGAGAAAGCTGAGTACCTTCGTGCAGGTAGCTTGCTGGGGGAGTAGGGTGCCTCTTTGTGCACCTATAAAACTCAAAACTCACTGCTATCGAGTCGGATCCGACTCATAGTGACCCCTCCTTGGGTTTCCAAAGTAGTATACTACAGAAGTAGATTGCCCAACCTTCCTTCCGAGGAGTGGCTGGTGGGTTTGAACTGCCAGCCTTCTCGTTAGCAGTGAAATGCCTTAGGCACTATGGTACCTATTGGCAGGGCTAAAAGAGCTCTGTAACACATGCCCAAATAGGACAGAGGCCAGGCCAAGGGCCAGAGAGGCTTGCCTACAGGCATGGCTGAGAGGAAGTTGTCCTGATCAAATAATTGTATCCTAAGCATTCCTGAACCTGAATTGTAACCTGTTACTTCCCTAATAAACCCCACAATCATGAGTACTTTCTATGAGTTCTGTGTGGCCATTGCAACCAATTATTTAACCCAGCAGAGAAATAGAGAGTGCTGTGGGAGGGACAGCTGGTGTCAGAACTGGTGCAAAGATTGGAGGGTGGTGGCATGTCTGACCTCCATTTTATACAGGCCAGCCTTGGGCTGATGCTGCTGATGGTGATTCTGTCTCCCCCTCGTGAAGTTACAGATCAGAGGACGCTGCCCCATAGCCTTTTTTGCAAGCAGATTCTGTGTGATTATCTCTTAAAAAATTCTGTCTTTTTCACTATCTTGTTCTGGAATTCCAAATATCTTAATACAGTATTTTTTTTAAAATACAATCCCAGAATTCCATTTGGCTTTGTTCTCTTTTCTGTTCTTTTCTCTTGAAATTTGCTAAGTTCAGTTACCATGTTTCGTGGTTTGCTTATTCTATCTTCTTCCTGAATGTGTACTAAATATTTTGCTTGCATTTTTTTATTCTTCAATTCCAGTATTTCTGATTTTTGTTTGTTTCCAATGCCCTTATGAGTTTCTCATTTTGTTTCCTGATCTTCATTAGTTTGTTCTCTGCTTTCTGGAAGTCTTCTATTTTTGCCATTAACTTGGTCACCATCAGAGATATTTCTCCTTCATGGTTTTCTTTTGATTGGGCCATCTTATTCTGTGATCTTGTGTGTTTTATACTTTTATTTGGTTGAAATAAAAGTATGAAATGGGAAAGTTTAATACCTTATGATAATCTGGAACTCAAACTTTTTGGTATTTTCCTGATACAGTTTTTAAAATTTTAATTCCATCTTCCTTCCCAAATTCCATTAGGGGGCCCTCTGGTTCTTCCAGTGCTTGATCTGTGGTGTGTTGTGTTTGTTAATATAGGGTTCTCCTCTGGCTTTACAAGTTTTAGGTGTTTGGTAAAAATTTAAGTTTCTGGTTTCAACACTGGGTGGTTTTTCCCAAGGTGGTTGATGTTACTGGGGTGTGAAGTTTTCTCTGAGATCTGTTAAATTGGATGTGTCTTTTCTTAGATGACTTCAACACCCTGGGGCTGGCTTCCCTCACATTTATCCTTAGGGGGTGGGGTGTGATTTTCCCTCTGCTAATTGCACAGGCAAGGGACTTGGGTGGAAGGGGTAGGGAGTGGCTTTCCTGAAGCAGGGTAGAGGGGTAATGGTTTGTGTCCTTAGTTAGCCCTGAGCAGGCTTTCCCACATGCCTGGTTGATAGGTAGGGAGCCATTTAGTTCCCACTGGGTTGCCAGTTTGATATATTTTTCTCACCCCACCTATAGATGGGTCCTGCATCTCTTCTGTGACTCTGGGTCCAAATACCCATCCATTTCAGCTTCCCTGTGCCCCTCCCCAAATGCACAGTTGGGCTTCCCTGTTCCCTGCTCATGGATTCCCACAGCCAATCTGTACCACTTTAACTGTTAATCGACTACACTTTCCTTAGTGTCCTAGATTTCAAACTGTTATGCTGATATAACACTTTCAATTCTACCCTGACCAAGAAGGTACCCCTACTTCTTTTGTTGGACCTAGTATCTCTGAGCTGGTGTGTGTCCTCAGTATAGATGCCATCCTGGGTTCTTTGTTCAGGGGTGTTGCCTATCCATGCCCCAAAGTGGCCGTAGTGAGCTGAGCCAGCAGGTAGAGTGCTCAGCTTTCCCAGCATCCCTGCTCTCCCTCCTGATTTAGGTCTCACCTCTATCCTCCAACACTTCAACTGCTGTCCAGAGCTCCTAAATCTCTGTGTTATTTTTTATTTGTTTTTCACTGACTTAGTTGTAGGGGAGCAACTGTTTATGCCACCATCATGCTCCTCCCTCAATCTTAATTATTTTTAATTACAAAAAGGAATACATATTTAATAGAACAAATCCAAATAATTCCCAGCTGTATAAAGTAAAAAGTAGCCATCCACTCCACCATGAACTAAAACTCACTGCCGTCGAGTCAGATCCGACTCATAGTGACCCCTCCTTGGGTTTCCGAGGCAGTATCACTATGGAATAAATTGCCCCATCTTCTTTCTGAGGAGCGGCTGTGGGTTTGAACCACCAGCCTTCTGTCAAATGCCTTAGGCACTACACCACCAGAATTCCCATTCCTCAAAGACAACTGTTGTTTGTTAAAAGTCGACTTTTTATCTACATCTGTGCACATGTAAGGAGTCTCTGGTTGGTACAATCAGTTAAGCATTTGACTACTAGCCAGAAAGTTGATCGTTCAAACTTACCCAGAGACACCTCAGAAAACAGGCCTGGTGATCTGCTTCCAAAAGGTGACACCCTTAAAAGCCCTATGGAGCAGAGTTTTACTCTGACACACATAAGGTTACCATGAGTCAAAACTGACTCCATGGCAACTAACAACATCAAGCATATTTAGAAAGCATTTATCTCAAGATAAAATGATGGCTCTGAATCTTCTCTAAGCAGAAACAGTATGGGAATTCACATTGCTGCGGCAAACAGATTCTGTAACATGAAGTGTGAATTTACTGGAAATAGTTCTAGGTAATAGTCTAAAAACGTTGCGAAATGAAAAAGGGTGCTTTTGAAAAAGAGTGATCCATGGAAAGATTATGGAATAATGTTTAAAGAGATCTAAAGGGTCACAGAAGTTAAAAGCTAGAACAATTTTTAAAAATACGTAAGCCTGGCCATCTAAGAAGCAGCTAATGGTCTCCTATTGTCGAAAGCGAAGAAGAGTACAAAAAAAAAAACAAGGGCATTTGGGGCATTTGGAAGCAATCAGCCCTAGAACACGATGGCACTTAAGACCAGAAGAACTAGATGGTGCCCAGCTACCAATGCCAACCACTCAGGAAAGGATCAAATCTGGAGATCTTGGATAGAGTGGAAGGGAAAATGTGGAACAAAATCCAGAAACTCAATAATGACCAGAATTACTGGTTGGATGGAGTCTGTTGAGACCCCCAATACTATGGCCTTGGGATACATCTAACCCTGGAATAAAACTCACTCTCAGGGGCTGGCTCTCAGCCCAATAGTAAAGATGTACACGCAGACCACTCAACCCAGGGTGAGGTACCCACATACTCTATGGAAATGCATCCCTTGGAGCAATCGACCACAAGGCACCAGAGGGGCAACATTCGCAAGGAGGAAATGCAGGACACACAGGAATGCGTAACTATGAGGGGCACTGGGGCGGAGGGTTACTAGGTGGGGAGGGGAGGGGACTGGATTAGGGTTGGGGGATGGTAAATGGGGAGTGAAACTAAATATACACGTAATGTTGAACGTAAAACTCTGCTCTGTAAACCTGCACCTAAAGCACAATAAAAATAAAAATAATAAAAATACATAAGCCTTTGTACCAAAGTCCAAATTGTTCCCATGGTCTCATCCTTTGAAATTATGTTTATTCTGATTATTTTGAGCTTTTCTCAGGCTTTATACAAAATCATCTAAAAGCACCTGGTTAAGTTAATGTTGTGACACAGTTCACAAATGGATGGCTGGGGTTTCATTTGGCTTGTGGTGTTTATCAATTTTTCAGTTACCAACTAACATAATCAATATGTACACAGACTGGACATGAAACATCACATATATTCCTGAATTTAAAAACTATTATAGGATGCTTTTTTTCCCTCAAAAAGTCAGAATTCTAGAGAATCCTTACCCACATTTCCACGTGGGATCAATCTCCATCCTGAGTGGTGGTGGCCTTTTACAAATGTGTGAGCTTTCCAATCCCACCACTCTCATTGTCCCACACCAGTCTAGTCTGCTGTGCTCACTTATAGTCCCTTGCAGACCCCTGACTCACAGTATCCTAATAAATTATCTCGCCATGTATTTGAAGGACTTGAGGCACGCTATCAAAGGTGAACACCCTAGTCTGAGTTTGCTATCCCAGCCAGCTTGAAACAGTAGATAGTGTTTTGACCTCTAAGCCAACATTTTGGACCCTAAATCTTTTTTTTTTCTCCATTAAAACAGCAAAGTTTCTTTTGCCTCAAAGAGAAAAAGAGTGTAATTCCAATGACATACATGAGACCTATTTTCTATGGACCAGGAATCAGCAGACCTGAGTTCTATTTCTGACTTGTCCACTTTGGATAGACAAGTGCAGTTAAGCTGTCTTGTGTCCCCTCATCAAATAAGAAAATTATTGCTTCAGTTCACAGCAATTTGGGGAGGTTTAGAAAATGAAAGTGCTATCTATTAATTAGTTTGAACACTGAAACTTGTGTTTTTCAGACATTTCCAGAACTAAATGTAATCTGTTTTGAGTGTCTAATAATTATCTAATATATAATAATTTTATTGCTGCACCCTTACGTTGAGAAACAAAATAGCAGGAATCATCCTGTCTATGCTCGTACTTGCAGCATAGACTTTACCACACTAATCAGTTCATGAAACTCCGTGTTCTGAAAGTGGCCACAGTTACTGAATTTGTACAATTTGGCTTCCAACTTATCAGCAACTTCTTGTTGTTCCTCCCAGGGAAGGAAAGGATCATCAGTGGATCCAAACTGCACAATGTGAGGGCAGTTGGCCTTGATCTTTTCCCATTTCCACGGGCGGTTGAAGTATCCTATGGGGAAAAAATAGTTTTATCAGTTCCCACATATAATCTCCATTCTTAATATCTAGAGGAGACCTAGCAGAGACACAAAGAATCAGTACCTCCTAAGTATAAATTTGAAGCACTTCTTGTGTTTCAAATTTATAGGGCTTGATTTCATAGGGAGTATGTATTTTAATAAAACCAGGCCTCCAGGGTTCATTTCTAGACTACAGATTAGAAAGAGGTCTTTTATTTTTCAAAGCTCCTAATTTACATCCAAGGATGCATGGTAAGTATTTCTTTAGTGCCATTAGATTTTTTAAAAACTTATCTTTTCCCCATGGCTAGGGAAAGAGCTTTTCTGGGTTTTCTGTCCTAATAGGGCAAGAAGGAAAAGAAGCCACAGTTTAATCTTTTGTGTTTTCCATCTCAGCGAGAGGCATCACTTCACCTTTGCTGGATGCTAGTATTGGTCTTGGTCCTGCCTCCCTTGCTTCTCCTAACAGAACAGAATGGAGGTAGAAAGTGGGATGCATTTGCTTTTCTTTCAAGTAGCGTTTATAATATTTTCTAGTTTAATTTTTCTATCTATAATTGTAGATATCGTAATAAAAGAGACATTAGTAAAATAATACAAAATTAGGCAGAAGGATGATAAAGATTAAGTTATTGATAACCATATAAAACTAAGAATGTATATAAGGAATAAAAAAGTGAGAAACAGCTAAAGATAAAAAAGTAAAAAATTTAGAGAAAATGTATAAAAGGAATGGTTGAAGGAGTAAGAAAGGGATTCAGAATGAGGGAACAGGAAAGAAGGGGACAAGCTGAAAGAAATCAAACTTACCACTTGCACGCTCATTTTCATCCCCCAAATCTGATGTGTATGCAGACACTAATACAATAGCATATACCGGATGTGTTTCTGCGTACCTAAAGAGAGAAAAAGATGTCAGCTAACTTTTAATGTTTAATCACCAACAAGTCAGTAAGCCACTTAAATCTCATTTGATTTAGCATATAGAAAGCATGTGCTATACATCCCATTGATATTAATGTGAAAAATAACAACAAATCTACTTGGTGAACTCACTGTCAAAATCTCTTGTGCAGTCCTTTTCATTTATCAATATGAAAAGTTTGACCACTCTCTGATGTGCACCATGAACATCAATGTCAGCATTGCTTGAAGAGTTGGTGTCTTATTTCTCTAGTGCTGCTATAACAGAAATACCACAAGTGGATGGCTGTAACAAACTGGAATTTATTCTCTTATAGTTTGTTGTTGTTGTTGTTGTTATGTGCCGTCGAGTTTAGTAGGCTATAAATCGGAGTTCAAAGTACTAGTTCTAGGGGCTGGGTGAAGGCCCCTCGACCTTGGGATTTGCCAACCTCTAAAACTGTGTAGGCCATTTCCCTGAGATAAATCAATCTGTGTGTGTGTATACATACACACACACACAAGAGCTTTACTGGTTTTGCTTCTCTGAAGAGCTTAGCTTAATTCAGGGTGGGTTGAGGTTGAGGACCAGGAACCTGCATTTTTAAGTGTGATACCTCCCCTAACTCAGGTGACAGTTCAAGTGGTCTGTAAACCCTACACACTGTTCAGTACAGAAGTGTACCTTGGTCATTATAGCATTTGTTTGCATTGTATTTTATCTGTCTCCCCCCAGTAAACCATCAGCTCCCTAACGTCAAACATGAGCCTTTCTGATCTTTGTGTCCCTGGTGCCTTGGTATGTCCAACAAGTAAACACTTAACTATTTGCAGCCAGCTTACTAACTCAGCAAGGCCTAGGCTATGGAGAAATGTGGAATGTTAATAGCTTCAAGAGGCTTTTGTGCCAGAACAGGTTTAGGGTTGGCATTTTATTAATGAGCCTAAACATTTTTTTCCCCAACTTTTTAATGAAAAATTTCCCACCCACAGAAAAACTGAAAGAACAACAAATACCTGGACTGATTAATTTTGCCATATTTTAACTCCTAAATACTTCAGCATTTATCTCCTAAGAACACTATTGTGGTATAGTAAATTACTTTGTGTGGCTTTTCTACCCATAAGTCTTTGTAAACTCCAAGGTGGGATTTGCTATGAGCAACTGAGGAGCTCCTGATTGCTGAAGGTGTCCACCTGGAGTATTTCTGTTGGGAGTGGCACAAAACAATGTTCTGGGAGGTG